CAATAACTAGTCCTCCTATTTATGTGTTCATGTGCTATAATATAATGGTCCTGGCTAAAATCACACTTCACTTGCTGCTTTTAAGTAAGCTAGAGATTTGGGGTAAAACAGATATAATCTGTAGCTCTGCCATAATAACCTTTGCTCCAGGTGACTAACTCTGTTGGAAATGGGACATGAATAAAACTTCATTTTGTGCAAAAGATCAACACGGATCAGGATCAAACGATGCAAAAGGAGTGGGCAATGTGAACATCTGCCTTTAGAATCGGCCGCCCGTCATTATGATCCTAAATACACATATCTGTATCAATACAGGTTTTTCCAAATTCTGGGGTTAACCTAAGACCTAAAATAGAAGACAAAATCTCATGACAAAGAATGGTCTAATAGGAATTTCCTGACCGACAGCAATGTGTTCAGACCTTTATGAAAGGGAATGAAAATGTGTAAAATAGGTCACCTAACAACAGAGCAGTTGCGATTGAAGCTGAGCAGGTCTCAGATCGGGACCCTCACTGCTTCTGGTCCTTTGCAGGCCTTTTCTTTCAGTCTATCCACCTTTTTCTGCAACCCCGGGGTTCCAATAGGTGCAGTTTTAAATCCACTGCCTGCTCTTTAAATCTAGTCAAGGGAAGAATAATGAGCAGGTGCCCACTTTCCATGTCTTTAGGCAATTAAGTGCTCTTCAGTTTATCTTAGTCCCATGCTGCCCCTTCCCTGTTATATTGAAAAGTATTGGTCACCCCCAGGCAATTCCATTCAGAAAGGCTAGTAAACAGCTTACCCAACAGGTTTGTGTAGACCCAATGTTCTCAAAATTTGCTCAGAACATGAAAACTATTGTTCTGAAGCAGTTGACAAGAAATCTGCTATTTAAAATGTCAGAAGGCGTTTAAAGTCCTAATACTTTTAATATCAACACCCCATTGGTTTTTCATTTCATTGCTGAGTACGTGGAGAGCTTTCCTCAAGAATGCAGCGCACAGCCTGCTCAAACTAGCGTCCGGAGGCTGTTTCTCACCACTCGTGCCTACAAAGGTAGTAACTGTTAACCAGACATAAACACGCACTAACTCAGCACCTCTGAGCCCTCAAGCATCTGTTTTTGCCATAAATGTTACCAGCTTTCCCACTACAAGGCAGTGTTCTGAATCCCCCAAAAGTTCAACCTGCCCCAGTTTATACCAGAACGTCGGAGGAAATGAGCACTCTAACTGGCCTCCTGATTGGGATTTTACCCTCCCTAGATTCTGCAACTGGGTTTGAACCAGCGTCTTAGATCTGTGCGTTTCACTGAGATCCCATACACACTACGTCAAACCACGTGAAACTGCACATACCTGTTTTTTTACTGACAAGAATAGCAATTGCTTATGTTCAACTAGTTTAATACATATTCTTAACATTTTACCCTATTTAGTATTAAAAAATAATGGCCGTGTGCTTTTGAACTTAATGACAATTAATGAATAGTATTTCTAAAAAGATTTACTTCTGTCACAAAATGTTTAAAGCCTTAGTACTTTTCCTTTAATATGGACACGCCTCATAAGTATCCCCGTATGTGTGACTTAACTGCATCTATTTACACATAAGTTCTGCATCCATCACTCTGACAGGCAAATTTAGTGTGCATCTGTCCATTCTTTTCTTAGCCATTTCCTCACCAAAAAGGGGGCAGGGCAAGGACAATGCTCAGAGACACCCAAACTCCCTTTAAACTCATTTGCCATTCAGCAAATGCACGGAGAGGTCTCAGACATGGAAATAGCTTAGTCATGTTCTTGCCTTCTCTTTATTCAAAGTGAAGATAAACACAATGGTACATATACTCTACTAAGGTCCGACTTACCCCTCTCAGGGCCTTTTTCAATCACTGAATTGTAGACAGGGAGAGCATAATTCATATCTTCCTATTATATGCTCTTCTCAGACTGAGCTAATAAGATTATGTGGTTTACATTTGTCCTTTCCCCAATTCCAGGTTTATTTAATAAACAAGCAAAAACTCCAACCTAACAATTCTGTCCCACTCTTCTAAAAATGAACTTCACCTCCTAAGCAAAAATAATGCTAATTTTACTTTTTTGCTTCTTTTTAGAGAGCGGTGGAGGGAGGGATAGGGAGAGAAAGATCAATGTGTGGTTGCCTCTCCAAAGGCCCCACTGGGGATCTTGGCTGCTACCCAGGCATGTGCCCTAACTGGGAATTGAACAGGTCACCCTTTGGCTCACAGGCCAGCACTCAATCCACTGAGCCACACCAGCCAGGGCCAATTCTTGGACTTTTAAAACTGTTTCACAGGCCCTGGCTCAGTTAGTTAAGAGCACTGACCTGATATACTTGTATAGGTTTGATCCCCAGTCACTGAACATACAAGAATCAACAAATGAATGCATAAATAAGTGATGTTTCTCTCCTTCTTCAAAATCAATTAAACACACACATAATACCTTATTTAATCTTTACCATAAAGTGACTAACTCTTTTAAGAGCTGAGAGGATTCCTCCCAGAATTGCTTCTCAATTCCATTTCTTTCAAAATACATTTATTTCTGGAGGTAGGGCAGAAACACTGGTATTTCTGAAAAGCTCATCCAGGCATTTTAGTGCAAAACCACGATCCAGAATGTTAGTCATATTTAAAAGCAGCAGCATCCTAACTCAAAAATAACCCTCAGCAGCACAGCTGGCCCTCTCTGATGTACCACCCACCCCCTACCCCTTCGACACACAAGACCTTGGAAAACCCTCCTAAGTCTCCCTCAAATCCTGGGATCCCAGGATCTGCTGTCCATTATACACTTTCACCCAAGTCTTACTCCTTCCCATCTTCCATTCAATCTCAATAACGTGAAGGCAGCCAGAAGAGTTGAGCTAAACTGTTGGAACAATTAACCAAAAATGGCAGCCTAATTCCTGTGACTTGTATGTTCCCTCAAGCCAGAAAATTAAAATATAAAAATTACTTTTAGTATTATTTTCAGCAAAGGTAACAATTTCATGTATTTTCAGTGATTTTTAAAAAAGTACTCCATAAATTTTTTTCCACAGAATATTTGTCTTGGTAGCAACTTATGTGAAATGGGTAAGAGTTCTTGTAAGATAAAAAATCCTACATTATCACATAGCAGCCTTTTTAAAAAAATTTTATCTTTCAAAGGGAAGGGAAGGAGAGAAGGAGAAAAATATCAATGTATGGATGCTTCTGGTGTATCCCCTGCTGGGAACTGGCCTGCAACCCAGGTACATGCCATGACAGGGAAATCGAACGGCGATCTTTTGGTTCGCAGGCCTGCGCTCAATCCACTGAGCTACACCAGCCAGGGCTACATAGCACCCTTTCTATATATTGCTCTTTGGCTCTTTTTAATACTACCATAAGTTTTTCTACCATAAAGGAATTTACTTTAAAGTTTATCCTCCCAAGCCCTGGCTGGTGTAGCTCAGTGGACTGAGGGCCAGCCTGTGAACCAAAGGGTCGCCAGTTAGATTCCCAGTCAGGACACATGCCTGGGTCGTGGGCCAGATCCCTGGTTGCGGGCGCACGACAGGCACCCACACACTGATGTTTCTCCCCCTCCCTGCCCCTCTAAATCAAACCTTTCAAGTTTATCTTCCCCCAACAAGGCACAAACTCGGTATTAGCACATTCCTGACTAGAGAACCCAATTCAAGAGCCTTTCCATAATCAGAAAGTTCTCTGACTGTAACCTAACTGCTAACTTCGGAGTACCACAGAAGTCCACTACTTCAGAGTACCCGGAGCAGTAAGTGAAGAGAAATGTACTTACCTGATCCCTTCTGAGAATTCTTGGGGGCAGGCTTCAATATGGATTGTAACACTAGGTTGGTAGCAAAGCCCAAGTTTGGCTGACTCGAGTAACTCATATAGAACAGAGCCAAAGTACCTACAGAATTCGTTTCTGGGGAAGCTCATCCTATACAGGCACCACTAATGTAAAACAAGACTATGCTGCAACCGAGTGAGAGTGGATTAAGTGAACGACAAGGCTGCTGGGGCACGAGAGCACACAGACACTTGATCCAGAAAGGCCACGTTGGTAGGTAGGCAGGTGTGTGGGGGGGGGGCATCCGGTCCCTTGAGAACCAGTACTGGACTCCGCTGGAATTAGTAAACGCAGGAAACTGATCTCCAATCCTAGGTTTATAACCATTTACCTGTGAGACAAAAACACTCCGAATTCCAATTTTCTCATCTCTAAAACAGGTTAGAATTAGATCATCTTTTTGTATCTTTTCCTGCTGTAATGTTCTGTTTATTGGTTCTACAGCTGTGACCTTTCCCCATACATGTGAATTTAAAGACAATAGTTACCTGCCTATCTATAGCTGTAAGCAACAGCCCTGGCTGGTGTGGCTCGGTAGCTTGAGTGCTGGTCCGAGAACCAAATTGTCACCTGTTCTTTTCCCAATCAGGGCACATGCCTGGGTTGCTGGCCAGGTCCCCAGTTGGGAGCACATGAGAGGCAACCACACACTGATGTTTCTCTCCTTTTCTCCTTCCCTTCCCCTAATAATATAAAATCTTAAAAATAAATAAAAGCTGTAAGAAATACATTATTTCAGGTTAGGGAGCATTTACTTATCAAAACAAAAGCTGGAAGGATTAATCAATTTATCAGCATAACTAGCTAAACCAGAACCTTTCCCTAGCTTGCATGTACTCGTGCGCTGTGTCAGGTGGTCGTTAAAGAAAAGAATGCTTGGGAGTAAACCCATGCATTATGCCCCGCCCCCAGCCCTTTTCTGGGTAGGTAAGTTGCATATTTGGAAATGCCTAAGCTTTTTGAATAAAGAAGAAGCTGAAACACCCTTTGCTGGTCATCTCTACAGCTTTGTTACTCTTTGTTTTGCTAGTCAGAAAAAGTAGCTTTATTTCTTCCTTGAAATGTTACTTCTCTCAAAGATTACTGTCACATCTTTTCCTAAACTTCAGTTTTCTATTTAATATTCCTCAGAATAAACAAAACAGCTCATTTTAAACAAGAAGTTTATTTAAACAACAAGACGCTTGACTTGAAGGGAAAACTACCTAGGATTCATTTCTTTTAGAGTAATTTACCCCTACTTAAAGACAGATTGCCCTACATGTAACAGCTACGTACAAAAAAGTTATAAAATTGTCCTTGGTTTTACAATGATAAATGAAAAACATTAAAATTCTCCAATCAAACAAGGTATGCAAGAATTTTTATGTTGTTCTTTTTTTGTTAAAGAGCGAGAGCAAAATAACTTACTGGAATATAGAGATAAGAGCTGAATGAGCATGCCACTAATGGAGAAAGGGGGTATCTTCACAGAACCAGTATTTTCCCCACCCCATCTCCATGTGATGTCAATCAAAACATACCATTGGCCATTTAGTTTAAAAAAAATGCAAATGCTTGTGCACATACATCAGTTACTTTATGTACAATAAAGGAATGGGGAAAGGGAAATGAAAGAATAGAGAAAACTATACTGTAGTAGTCAGGATGTGGTGGAACCAAATTGCGGTTTTCTAATTGAGAATGTCTTCTTGGTCTGAAGGAACAGAGTTCTGAAGTAAAGTAGCAGGTTCCCTTTTTAGTAGACACCTCCTGTCTGCTGCTGGAACACATCAATTGTATCTTCATCCTCCATTTCCAACTAACATAAAGGAAAAAAACAAAAAACAAACCAAAAGCCATTGATTATTCAGCTCTTAAAGTTATAATTATAGTCCTGGCTGATGTGTGGCTCACTGACTAAGCATGTGAGTAAACCAGGGAGTCACCAGTTCGATTCCCAGTCAGGGCACATACCTGGGTTGCGGGCCGGGTCCCCAGTGGGGTGCATGTGAGAGGCAACCACACACTGATGTTTCTCTCCCACTATTTCTCCCTTCCCTTCTCTACAACTTAAAATAAATAAAATCTTAAAAAAAAAAAGGTTATAACTATCAACCTGGTTAGAGCATTTTCCTGATACACCAAGGCTAAGGGTTTGATCCCCAACCAAGGTATATACAAGAAGCAACCAATGAGCCCTGGCTGGTGTAGCTCAGTGGACTGAGCTCCAGCCTGCAAACCAAAGGGTTGCCAGTTCGATTCCCAAGCAGGGCACATGCCTGGATTGTGGGCCAGGTCCCCACTGTGGCGCTTGTGGGAGGCAGCAGCACAATGATGTTTCTCTCCCTCTCTTTATCCCTCCCTTCCTCTGTCTAAAAATAAATAAAATCTTAAAAAAAAAAAAGAAAAGCAACAAATGAATAAGTAGAACAAATTAATGTCTCTCTCAAATCAATAAATAAAATTGTTAAAAAACTTATAACTATCAGACCTAAATATCCTGAAAAGCTGCACAAGTTTCACCCAATTCCAATGTTCATTAGTTTCGACATCCCAGAGGCTAATTAAGAATCAGCCTTAGGGTTAAGTAACTCTTTACATGGTCTTCTTTGTGGAGATTATAGCAAACTTAGTTTTTAAGTTAAAAACTGAGTATGTCTGCCCTGACCAGTGCGGCTCAGCTGGTGGGCATCGTCCTACAAAGTGAAAGGTCCCCACAGGGCACATACACGAGGCGGCAGATCTGTTTCTCAAACTGATTCTTCTCTACCTCTCTTTCTACCTTCCCTTCTCTCTACAAATAAATAAACGGGAAATAACCTAAGTATCAATAGAAACCCAAAGAAATATGATACAATTATACACGAAATACCACATAGCTGTTATTGAATCAGCAGACTCAGGGTCAAGTTGGTGGCACAGGTAAACATGGCTCACCTTGTCGTGCAACCACATCAAAGTTACAACAAAAATAGGACCACCAAAAACTGAGTTTCCCTTAAAGTTTCCTTTAAGTTTCCCTTAAAGAATGTATACATGGACTTAGACACCCTCCCTCCCTCCCTCCCTCCCTCCCTCCCTCCCTCCGAGCTCCAGCACCAGGTTAACAGCTTCAAAGGCACCAGTGGCACACAGGGAGTACCTTAAGTGCCTGGAATCAAGGTGGTACCTGGAGGACAATTTTCTCCCAGACAGAAAGGTGGTCAGAGACTATTGTCCCTTTTCTGAGCCTTGCCCCAGAGCCACAGAACCAGCCTGTAGGTATTGTACCTCAGACTCCACCAACCTGGCTAACACTGTTTGCCCTACCCTGGAGATACTGAGTCCCACCCAATACATAACCTGTTATACAGTCACATTCCCATGTGAATGGCTGGTATTGGCTCATGCTTCCCAATTTCCTAATCCCCTCAGACAAGCAACAGCCAGTCTCAGTGAGACCCTAGCACACCCCATATCTCTTGCTAAGTGACCCCAATATTTGTAGTTGCAAGCCTAAATTTGCCAGGCTTTGCCTGGGGATTTCCAAGGCCAGCCCAGGTAGCAGCCACCTGTGACTGCTTTACAGTTCAGGAAGGGTGGCCCTAGACAGAATACCAGTGGGGGGCTGACCTTGACCTATACCACCTGGGAAACCCCAGGGCAGCACACCCAGCGGACCAGCTACAGACTATGTCAAAGCACCACCACCCTGCCCCTGTACAGATGATCCTCCATAGCGGGGAGTGGTTGGTGGTCAGTGGTCACAGTCAGTCCTTGCAGCTGACTGGCCTGGGTAAATCCCTCCCACTGATCTGCCAACAGCAACCAAGGCTCAGAACTACAAGAGGAGGGTGCAGTCAGCTCACATGAAGGGCACACCAGCTTGGGTAACAGGGGAGGCTGTGCAACTGGACCCTGGACCTACAGCCAAGATTGCTCTATCCAACAAAGCTGTCACTTGCAATCAAGGAGCAAGCTTCCCAAAAAAACCCCCAAAAAGAGAAAAAAAAAAAAAAAAGAAAAAAGGTGCGGGAATGGGTGAAGAGGTGAGGGGGTTATGAGGTACAAATAGGTAGATGCAGAATAACCATGGGCTGTAAAGTACAGTTACAGGAAATGGAGTAGCCAAAGAAATTCCTATTACCCATGGACATGAACAATGGTGTGGAAGTACTGGGTGGAAAGGGGGAAAAAAGCAGGACAACTGTAATAATATAATCAATATAATTAAAAGTGGAAAAAAAAAGCAGATTTACGCAAGTAGAAATATCCCTAGGATACTAGTATTAGGCTAAAGACAAAATTTAAAAACCAGGCAACATTTATGTTTTTCAATATATCTGTCTATAACATGAGTATATCCTTGCCTGTGCACAAAACAGTGGTGACCTCTATGTAGTAAGGGAATGAGATGGAGAAGAAAACACTGGTTTTTAAAAAACACCTAATTTAGCCCTGGATGGAGTTATGGCCTGTGAACCACAGGGTCGCCAGTTAGATTCCTAGTCGGGACACATGCCTGGGTTGCTGGCCAGATCCCCAGTGGGGGCATGTGAGAGGTAACTACACATTGATATTTCTATTTCTCTTTCCTGTCCCCTCTGTCTAAAAATAAAATAAAATAAATTTTTTAAATTTAATTAAAAAATCTAATTTAAAATTTAAAATGGTATTCACAAATTGTTTGCAAGATTCACATTATATATAGAACCATGTTGACAGTAGAAAGAATTTGGTCCATATGGCAATACTATAAAATATATAAGCTTTGTAACGGTTTATTTGCTGACAATTACCCTTGAAGATTTCTTTCTAGCCCGGGCTGTAGTGACTCAGTGGACTGAGCTCTGGCCAGCAGACCAAAAGGTTTCCATTTGATTCCCTGTCAGGGAACACGCCTGAGTCGCTGGCCAGGACCACAGTTGGGTGTGTGCGAGAAACAACCAAGCAATGTTTTTTCTCTCTCCCTCCTCTATAATAAATGAGATCTTTATTAAAAAAAAAAACAACTCCACAGCATTTCTTTAAAAGCTGGTTAATTTTGTAGGTAAAAGTAACTTGGGCACCTAAAGACAATAACTGTTTCTAAGGAAGTTGAAATATACTCGAAATAGAGCTAAGGCATTAATAACTGAGTCTTAATTCCCTCTTTTGTAAAATGGAATAGCATTCAGCTAGAGAAATAAGTAGAAGAATGTAAGTAATAGAATCATGGGCACCTAATAATTACACTGCTATTAAAATTGGCTGATAAGATTTACTAATTTATTACAACTCTTCAATTTAATATTGGGAGAACAATTCTAACAAATCAATTTCATTCTAAAATTGTAAATACTAAAATGAGTTCAATTCCATATTCATTTGAAGATTTTATAATGAAGTTCTGAACAAATCCTACTCAATTTAGTATTTGAAGAATTATTTTGTCCTGGTGGGTGAGGGCTTCATAAGACAGAAAATACATTTCTAGCCCTGGCCAGGGTAGATCGGTTGGTTAGAGCTTTATTGGTTCAGTCTCAATACACCAAGGTTGGGGGTTTGATCCCTGATCAGGGCACATATAAGAAATCAACCAATGAATGCACAAATAAGTAAAACAACAAAAATCTATGTTTCTCTCTCTCTCTCAAATCAATAAAAAATAATTAAATAAATAGGAGCCCTGGCCAGTCTGGTTCAGTGGATTGAGTGCTGGCCTGCCAACCACAAGGTTGCCAGTTTGACTCCTGGTCAGGGCACATGCCTGGGTTGTGGGCCACGTTCCCAGTTGGGGGCGTGGCATGTAAGAGGCAACCAATCCATGTTTCTCTCTCATACAGATGTCTCTCTCCCTTTCTTTCTCCCTCCCTTCTGCTTCCCCTCACTCTAAAAATAAAATCTTTGTTTAAAGAAGAGAAAGAAAACACATACTACTTGTCACAGTCTAGCACAATGGATTCTTTATTATTTAAAGCAATTAAAAGAGGTCTTTAGTTTATTTACTGAAATAAACTACTAGAATGTTAAATTTTACAATGAAACTTTAAATGCCTACAAAGGATAAAGCTGCTTTCTTTCATCAAGAAAATTCAGCTCCTCCTTGTGGCTAGGGACTGTAACTGCTCCTCAGACACTCACAAATGGAAATATCTTCAAAATATTCTCCCATCAAGTGTAACTCAGACATTTCAAATTTTTGAGGATTATCAGCAAAACCAGAATCTTGATGTGCTAATTACTCAACCCATATTTATCATATTTGTCTAGTTTTTATGGGGTGATAAAAAATTTTTAAAAATACTTGGGCTCTAATTCAAACTTCCAAGTAAAGTTTCTTCTTCTTCTTCTTTTTTTTTTTTAAATATTTTATTTATTTATCTTTAGAGGGGAAGGGAAGGAGAGAGGGAGAGAAACATCAATGTATGGTTGCCTTTCGTGCATCCCCTGCTGGGAACTGGCCTGCAGGGAACTGGTCTGCAACCCAGGCATGTGCCCTGACTGGGAATTGAACTGCAATTGTCTGGTAAAGTTTCTTCTTAAAAATCATTTTTATGAGCCCTGGCTGGTGCAGCTCAGTGGATTGAGCACGGGCCTGCAAACCAAAATATCGCAGTTCGATTCCCCATGAGGGCACATGCCTGGGTTGCAGGCCAGTTCCCAGCAGGGGCCAGTTCCCAGCAGGGGATGCACCAGAAGCAACCATACATTGATATTTCTCTCCTCTCCTTCCCTTCCCTTCTAAAGATAGATAGATTGATAAATAAGTAAATTAACTAATTACTTAATTAATTAATTAAAAAACCATTTTTCTACCCTGGCTGGTGTGGCTCAGTGAATTGAGCTCCAGCCTGCAAACCAAATGGCCACAGTTCTATTCCCAGTGTGCCTGGGACATGCCTACATTGCAGGCCAGGTCCCCAGTACAGGGCACATGAGAGGCAACCACACACTGATGTTTCATCCCCCCCCTTCTCCCTCCCTTCCCTTCTCTCTAAAAATAAAATCTTTAATAAATTAAAAAATCAAAAGAAACAGACATTGGAAAAAATGGTTTAAAGTAATTAAATGACTCATTAGCTTTACTAATGATAACCGGATATTTTCAAACTATTCGTATTTCCTCAATCTATATCTATTTTTTTCTTTGTTCCCCTTTGACCATATTTTACATAGGCCTGAAATGAGATAAAGAATTATATTCCAACATCTGAAGGTTCACAAATAAACAGAGCTGTTAAGAAAATTTTTTTAAAAATTGGTTTTTCTGGTTAGCACAAAAAGATTTTTACCTGTGCAGGTGTGTCTGTTTCATTGATTGGCTGCCCGTCAAATCGGAATCTGATCTGCCTCATTGACAAACCCTGGATGAGAGAGTTTAAAAGCAGTAAGAATGCAAAGAAACACTGAAAAATAAAACTATAGGCATATTTAGCCATGAATATATTGAGAGATACCTAAATAAATGATCAACAATGTTACCAATATTTCTGTATGGGTAAAAAGATTTGGGGTGCCTTTCACTGTATCTTTATGTTTGATTTTGTTTCTGAAAAATGCTTTTTAAATAAAGGTCTTCTTAAAAAAAAAAAGCTGTACTGCTTTTGAGACCATTGCTACTCCAAGCTTGAACAGTTCATACCTTGAGTCAAGCAGTGTATCTAAGATACTAAAAGGAAACTTTAAAAAGATGCATGCAGCAATATTTCTCAATGCATGTTAAAGAACTCTCCAAAAGAAAAATAAAATACCCTTAACAATAAAGAAAACTAGTCACCTACAAAGGTGTAATGATTAAAATAAAATTTTGCCTAAAAGCCACTTTACCTTCACTTTTATCCTAACAGTTCCTACTACTATGCACAAGTAACCTATGCCCCAAATCAGCACAATGCTTAACCTATGCCCCAAATCAGCACAATGCTAAGTAGACCAAAAGTTATTTAATAAGTTATCCTTGGGAAGTCGGGATATTTCCACTAGAACACAAGACAGTAACTGTCCTAAAAGCATCCGTAAGACCACAATCCACTCATATTCCTGAAAGAGCTCAAAAGTAGCTGCTTTTCAATTTTCTTTTTAGTGCCAACACTTACCTAAAGCTTCACTTCTTGCTTGCCAACTATCGCTAGAAAATAAACTTCAGGCCCTCCCTGGTCGGGTAGCTCAGTTGACTAGAGCATTATCCAGATATACCAAGGTTTTGGGTTTGATGTCCAGTCAGGACACATATAAGAAGCAATCAATAAATACACAACTAAGTAGAATAACAAATCAACGTTTCTCTCCCTTTCTCTAAAATGAAATTAAAAAAAAAAAAATGTGATCATCTTCAATAAAGAAAATAAGCTTCATGACTAGGAACCCAGACTGTCTTGATCACCTTAGACTCCTTGCACATAGTAGGAGTAAATACTAAATACTGATGGAGTAAAATGGGAAAAAAGCATCAGCCACCTAACACTACTTCATTCGTTTTTTATTTAAAAATTAATCTATCCATGGCTGATGTGGCTCAGTGGATTGAGCAACTGACTGCAAACCAAGGGATCACCAGTTCAGGGGACATGCTTGGGTTGCAGGCCAGGTCCCCAGTTGGTGGCACAAAAGAGGCAACCACATACTGTTTCTCTCCTTCTCTTCTCCTCTGTCCAAAAATTAAATTAAAAAAACTTTAAATAACTTAATCTAACACTATTAAATTGGGAAAAATTATAAACAGGAAATTTTAACCCTGACCAGTGTGGCTCAGTTGGTTGGGCATCATCCTGCAAAAAAGTTGCTGGTTTGATCCCTGGTGTGGGCACATGCTGAGGTTGTAGGTTCAGTCCCCAGTCAAGGTGCACATGAGAAGCAACCAATCAATGTTTCTCTCCCTTTTTTCCTCCCTTTCCCAGCTCTTGAAAAATAAGTTTTTTAAAAGGAGGGAGGATTTTTAAATGCATTAAGGAGATAAATGAGCCTAAACACGCCCCTTCTGCAAAAGAGGATTCCAATGTTTTACCTATCAAGCATTACCTTCCTAACAGGTAGGGAAAAGGGAATGGAATGAAACACAGCAGTGAAGCTGCTGGTAACTGCAGCCAAATGAAGACAAGATAGAAAAATAAAGTATCTTTGGACGTATGTTGTAAATACATTACCTTAAAAGACCGCTTTCTAGAAAGCATCTTACAAAAAGTTACTCCTATATCATGCTCAAATTATGAATTATAATTAGTTACACAAACTCTTGTGTCTCAATTAGTATTTAAAACTGAACTGAGTTCTTAGGACTAAAAACATTCAAAGTGCTCAACAAATGCTTGTAGAATACCTGTATTTCCTCATCAAGGATTTGCTGCATCTGTCTTCAGAACCACCTGTATCATAAAGATCATACTTTCCTGCAAACTCTAACCTTTGACATCACTTTCAGACTAAGCCCTGACTTGAGGAACACAAGTAATCCCCCATTAGGTAGGTGACATCCATACCTTAATTCCTTGTGACTTTCAATTTTAACTAGCAATTACACAAAGCAACCAATTCAATGCCAAGTATTAATTATCAGGCATTAGAAACACTCCAGTGAAGACTCCTTGTTCCAGGAAAATACTAAGCACTTCTATATGCTGCGTTCTTCCTTCACTACCAGTAGTAAGGCCATAAGGTCAATGGTGTGACCTTTCACAGTGAGTGGGAGAGGGGCAGTGTCAGAATGTAAGCACACTGTATTTATGCATAAGCACACCTGTTTTTATGCTTTTCCTCACCAATAAAGATTTTTCTAATGATCAAATGTCCAAAATTCAAAAATCTTGTCTTTAGGATTGCATAAACCATGTAAATTCAGGTAAGTTACATTAAACCAGTACTTGGGCTCCTCCTTTCATTAAATCTCATCCCTAAGCTTTTGAGTTTTGTTGGAAGAGTTGAGTGAGCTCGTCTCTCTGGGTCCATTTTCTCATTTCACAAAAATCAGATAGAACCAATAAATCTGTGTTCTCTAAAACCACCTGATACTCCATGAAATAATGTTAAGAGTAAATCCATACCAGACCAGAAATGCTCTGAATCAGTCAGCTGAAGGCTATATAGCAGATATAAAGTAGGCAAACCCTAATTCTACACGTGAATGAAAAACTGATTTACCAACCAATCTCTGGAGTTCCTGGTTTGAACGTTCCTGATCCCTTTGCAAGCACTTACTGGGCACCTTCAATAGGCCAGGTCCTGGTCTAGGCTCTAGAGAAAGGGTGAACGAGGCCCTGTGCCCACGGAGATTCATTTGTTGTGCAGAAAGAAATACAGTGAGCACTTAAAAAAATGAAACAGCCCTGGCTGGTGTAGCTGTGTAGCTCAGTGGATTGAGCACAGGCCTGCAAATCACACAATCTCGGTTTGATTCCCAGTCAGGGCACACGCCTGGGTTGCAGGCCAGTTCCTAGCAGGGGACTCGTGAGAGGCGACCATACATTGATATTTCTCTCCTTCTCTAAAGATAAATAAAATCTTTTAAAAAATAAATAATCAAACGAGAATGAGAGGATTGTGTGATGGGAACAGGAGCTCTCTGAATCAAAGACCTCTCCAAGGTAAAAACGTAGCAAGAGTGGAATAAAATGGCTGAAGGCTCAGCTCTAATATCCAACAGAAATATGTGAGCCATATATGTATTGTAAATTCTCTACCTGTCACATTAAAAATAGGTAAAATCTTAGTAAAATATTCTGATTCAGCCTACTTAAACCTGTTTCAGCCCCCACTAGTGTGGCTCAGCGGACTGAGTGCCAGTCTGTGAACCCAAAGATCACTGTGAGATTCCCAGTCAGGGCTTGTGCCTGGGCAGTTGGGGATGTGCAAGAGGCAACTGATGGATGTTTCTCTCCCTTTCTAAAAATAAAAATTAAAAAATAATTCAATATGTGGTCAACATTTTCAAAATCTGTCACACTTTATAGCATATCTCAATTTGAACTAGTCATATTTCAAGTAGTATTCACATGTGGTTTGTGGCTACTATACTGGACAGCACAGGCTTAGGCAGAGAGCAGAATGTGCTGATGGCTTATGAGTCAGGAAGAGCCATCAAGGATGACCCCAGGGTTGTGACCGCACTAGATCTTGAACGGTGCTATCTAGAGTGTAGGATACCAGAGAAAAAGATTTCTAGGGTTAAAATCAGTCCTCTGTTCCATGTTCAATTTGAGATAAAAAACCTCTAGCTATACAAATTAAGTTAAAATATTCTAGAGTTTTGCCCTGGCTACGGTGGTTCAGTGGATTGAGCATGGGCCTACAAACCAAAGAATCGCAGTTCAATTCCCGCTCAGGGTACATGCCTGGGCTATGGGCCAGTTCCAGGCAGGGAATGCACGAGGCAACCATACACTGAAGTTTCTCTCCCTCTCTTTCCCTTCCCCTCTAGAGATAAATAAAATCTTAAAAAGAAAATATTCTAGTGTTTTGATAGCCTGTACCTACACTTAACAAGAGAAAAATCAGAACAATTGGGATATACAACTTCCTTGGAACGTAAGTTACCATTTGAAACTGAAACACGAATCTTGTCTCACTCAAAACTCAAGATTTTTCCTAATTTAAGAGGAAAATAGCCCTGGCTCAATGGATTGAGCACAGGCTGTGAACCAAAGGGTCGCAGTTTGATTTACAGTCTGGGAACATGCCTGTGTTGTGGGCTGGGTCCCCAGTGGGGGCCATGTGAGAAGCAACCACACATTGATGTTTCTCCCCCTTTCTCCTTCCCTTGCCCTAAAAATAATAAAATATTTTTTAAAAAGAGGAAAATAGAAATAACCTATCTTCAAATCATATTTACATTCCCAGATATGCACTGGAATTATTTTTTATAAATTACCAGTGCTGCCTTTTCCTGTAGTGCAAGTGAAGAGCAACTAAACAAGTTTATTCAAACATAATCCTAACAAAAAATTCAAGGAAAATTGTTTTTGCACTGGGCAATACACCAAATTTATTTTAACCTAGCAGAAAAACCTTAATAAATTCTTGACTGTCCCAGCAACATGATCTTATATGACAATCGCCCATAGGGACAGTCTGGAATAGTGTGCTATGCGTTGTTTTCATGGCACACGGTATAATGAATGGCCTAGTACGTGGTTGGCATCTGGTAATTATCAGATAAATAAAAAGATCCTTTAGGACCTCTATAAGAAATATAAGATGTCTATATTTTCTAAGTGTTGAAAAAAGATGATCATTTGCCCTGGCTGGTGTAGCTCAGTGCATTGAGCACAGACATGTAAACCAAGGGGTCACGGGTTTGATTCCCAATCAGGGCACATGCCTGGGCTGTACACCAGGTTCCCAGCAAGGGGGCTCGTGAGAGGAAACCACACACTGATGTCTCTCTCCCTCTCTAAAAATAATAAAACCTTAAAAAAAAAAAAGATTACCACTTAAAGGCTAAAATTTAGTGAACTACAGAAAACAAGATATGCCAAGAATTTTGTTGATAACCACCAATCAAGATAAGTTTCTATCTGAGATAAGGTTTGGCTACTCAAAAGTTCTACAAGACACTTAGCTCTTAAGTATCTCCTGTAGCCCTGGCTGGTGTAGCTCAGTGGATTGAGCACGGGCCTGTGAAGCAAAGGGTCTTGGGTTTGAGTCCCAGTCAGGGCACATACCTGGGTTGCAGGCTAGGCCCCCAGTAGGGGACAGTCGAGAATGCAAAAAAATCTAGCTCAAGTAACAAGTACGTATTTACTATTATGGATATTTTACCAAAATTCAAGTAAGAGTGTACTGAATATCTTGTCTTTGTCAGGGTTTATAAGAAAGTTTACTTATGAAGCCCTAGCTGGTGTGGCTCAGTGGACCGAGTGCAGGCCTGTGAACTGAAGGGTCATCAGTTTGATTCCCACTCAGGGCACATGCCTGGGTTGGAGGCCAAGTTCCTAGCAGGGGGTGTGCGAGAGGCAACCACACATTAATGTTTCTCTCTCTTCTCTCCCCCTCCCCCTATGGAAATAAAATAAAATCTTTAAAAAAGAAAGCTGAGCCCCGGCTAGTGCAGCTCAGTGGATTGAGCGCGGGCCTGTGAGCTAAGGGATCGCAGTTCAATTCCCAGTCAGGGCACATGCCTGGATTGCAGGCCAGTCCCCAGTGGGGGACCCATGAGAAGCAACCATACACTGATATTTCTCTCCCTCTCACCTTCCCGTCCCCTCTAAAGATAAATGAATAAAATTTAAAAAAAAAAAAAAAAGCTGACATATAAAAATGGAAGAATTATAAGCACAGTATTCTTATAAATAAATCAGACAGAAAATAAAGCTTCAAATTCAAAAAGGAATTTATACCTTCAGTTTCTTTCAAGTGCTTTTGTATGTCATGGAGGAAGCTCAAGTTTCAACTCAAATTCAACTTCCCAACTTCTGCAGGTTTATGCCTTATTCTATTTTGGGGAAAGTTTGCAATGTAGATAAGTTGTTTTAGTCTAAAAGAATGAGTTTCTCAATTTGTGTATATTATATATTGAGGGTTTAGCAAGAAAAATACGTCTGCCAGGTTATTACTGTAGTAACTTTTCTAGGAACCAGAGTTTTTGTTATACTTGGAAAATTCACTTTTAAAGTTACATTGTTACAGACTCATCACAAAGGAAAGCTTCTTTGCCTTTAAATTTGCATTTACCTCCCAGCACCTGTTCACTACTACTTCCTCTTCTTGATGCCTAGTTACTATTGTCTTGAGTAAAATGCAAATGTCTCTAATGTAAAAATGATTATGCTTGGGGTTCAGATTAAATTTCATGACCCTATTATTAGTGTAAAAAAGGAAATATTGCAATTAAAATTGTACACGGTTTAGAAAAACGGCAATGTTTTTAAGTGCACATTTGTTTCCAAACTGCTTAAAATATTCAAAATGGTTTTGACCTAAGTCAAATTTTAAGTGAATAAAAAAAAAAGAAAAAAAAAAAAAAGAAAAAGGATGGGGGGAGGGGTGTAAGGGCACTAAATTAAAAAAGAGAGAAAAAGCCTGACCAAAAGAAAGACCGACGAGAACATTTACCTTATTCATTCGTATTTCTTATACTCCCTTGGAAACCAACCACACCTTGAGAATGATATGATGTACTTGTGGCACAGGACTAGAATCATACATTAACCAAACCATCCTAGGGGTTTTCACAAAGAATAGCATACCAAATGCATGATAAAGGACGCAAGGGCATGTGCATTCTGCTAAAGTCAGTCTATTGTATTATGCTGGTCTAGTTTCTATTCCATGAAAATAAGGTTTGTTTTTTATTTAAATAAGTTTTATTTAGTGAAAAGTGCACGTCAGTTCCTCACCTGTCGTTCACAATAGGCTTTCATTAGTTTACTAAGTGGTGTATGCCTCTTAATCTTAAACTGCACCACAGAACCATCCTGCCCCGCCACCTTCAAATTAATATGATCGTTGTTCTCAGTCTTGACTCCTTCCTGTTGAAAGAAAAATAAAAGTATAATTTGGAAAATGTGAAAAACAAACACCTTTTAAAGCAGCCGCAGCCCAAGTTGCTTCAGAAATCAACAGGTTTCTCATTCTGTATGATAAAAGAGCATATAGATGTTTTCAGGCGCTGAAATCAATCTGAAAAAATGAGAAATCCTCAAGCAACAATATTAAATAGCTGTCAAACAGAAAGAAACCTCACGCAGTAAGTTCAGAAGCAACAATCGATTTTAAATGGGTCCCACTCGATTTACTGCAACGCTCTCTTGAATTGTCCAAAATGGCCTATTTTATGTCACTTTCAAAATCTTTTCCTTAAAAACATTAAAAACGAGCGTCCTTTCTCTTTTCAATGTACTTTAAGTACAGAATGCAGTGCGGGGGGAATCTAGACCTTGAAATTCAAAACTCATTACAATTCTCTAGTTAAAGTCACTGAACTCGGTTTTATAACTTAAATCTCAAGCTACATAAAAAATAAAACAAAACCCTAGAACATCCCGGTACTCTCTGAAGCAGCGGTAAAAAGTCGGAACCACTATTAACGTTCGCCCATTAGCAGCTTCACTCTGCTTATTTTTAGTTAAGAGCTCCTATTCTCCCCTCCCCTTTGTTGACATGAGTCAAATGCAGTTTATTCCAAGTCTTCCTTGCATATTTCGACCCAATCTGAAGTTCACCAAAGTCAAGGATGGAGGAATTCTGTTCTATTGCCCTTAAGTCACTTCAGAAAGAAAGAACAGGGTGTCACAGAAGAAACCAAGAAAAGTCCCGCGTGCCAGGTAGAAGCGTGCACCCCGGTCCGCAAGGGAAAAGCCTCCTCCTGGTGCAACAAGATCGCGTTGAAAAGTTAAGCCTTTTTTAGTTTCTAAAATGCACTAAGTGTCTGCTTGTGCATCTGCCTGCAACTTCTCGAAACCACATGGTCTCCGCAGATTAGCGGTTCTTTAATCCCCAAGGAAGAGCCCCTGCCCATCCCCCCTTGGGACTCTGAGGTCTTTAAAGTAGGAAATACTCCCCGGGAATCCCCGGCCCCTCACGACCGCCCGACAGGCATCCGGCTTCCAACCCATCTGCAGCCCATTGATTCGTCCCGAACCCTCCTCACCCGGCCACTGCCGGCCGGGGCAGGGGGTCCCAAGATGCCCGCGGCTTTCATCCCCGTGGGGGGAAGTTCTGGAAGGAGGGAACTCCCCGCCACCGAGGAGGCGGCAAAACCCGCCGAAGCTCCGCGCCGGATCCGCGAAGGGTGGGGACGCTGCGCGCCTTAACGCCCCTCCTCACGCGCGCCCGCCGGGCCGGGCGCTGGAAGCCCCGCTCGCAGCCGGTTGGCCTGCGAGCGTCCGCGACCCGCCCGCCCTACTCGCGCCCCGCGCGCACTCCGAGGCGGCCGGGGGCGGGGGAGGGCCGCGGGGCCTCCTCCGGCGCGGGAGGAAGAGGGGAGGGAGGAAAATGGCGCGGAACGCCCGGGCCTGAGCCGCGGCCGGCCCATGGGGGGCCCGGGGAGGCGCGGGCAGCCCGCGGCGGCTCGGGCCAGCCCCCGGCCCGATCCTTGACCACACCGCGCGGCAAGGCGAGGAGGCCGGCGGCGAGCTCACCTTGGGCTTTTCGTCGGCCATGGCGAGCGCCGGAGTCTCCTCAGCTGCCGCTTCACAAAAGAGGTACCAGGTCCGCACCGAAGGAGCACACAAGCAACACCAGGAGCGGCAGAAGAAGGAGGCGGCAGCGGTGGAGGAGGGAGAGGGCGCGCGCACGTTGTGCGCTCCCTCCCCCCACCCTGCGTGCGCGAGCACGAGCCGCCAGACCTTCCCATTGGCTGCCGTCTCGCGGGAGCGCGCAACGCTTACATAACCACCCCAGCCCCCCCTCTCCCCGCGTTGCCGGGCCCGGGCCCGGAGCCCGCCAGGCCGGCGGGAAGAGGCGCGGACACGCGCACCCTGCCCGCCGCGGGGGCGCGCCTGCTCTGGGCGGGGCTGTATTGTCCTTCTGTGGTGGAGCTTAATCAAAATGGCTTCCAGCTGGTCCTCGTTGAGGACGAGGAGGCTTGAGGCCTGGAGTGAGCCACACGCCGGGGAAGGCCGACTGACTGCACGAGGACTGGGGAATCTAAAGTATAGCCCAGCATGAGGTTCTAGGGAAAAAAATCCCCCTTGTTCATTGGGCCGAATGCAGTTTTCCCCACGGTTAGAGGAACATGACACTTCCTCTCAGCCAGCCTCTCGTCTTTGGAATTTTAAACCTTCGGCCTCGACCCGCTTCCCACCACTGCCTTGCCTCAGTGCGGTGACTACCAAGGCACTCCTGGTAATCCTATACTTTGGCCTGCTGAGGAAAAATGTGTGTTCTACAAACTCCTGACCCGTGGCCTGGCCCCCAACCTCCAAGAGGAAAGAGAATGCATCCGAGAGAACTACTCGCTATCAAGCTTGCCATCCATCGGCCAGGTCCCTGCCATTTTAAGAACGGATCCTGGCCTCTGAGCAGTGGATTCCCCCCAACTCCTCCTCCCAGTAGGTTTTATTATTTTCTCTGTCCCTGTATGTTCTTCCACTCCGTCAGCATAGAAAAAGAATGCTATTTCCATCATAAGTTACCACCGTATCTCTCTCCATTCTTGGCCAAACGTCTTGAAAAAATGTCCATGCCAGCTGTCTCCACTCCCTCACCTCCCACTCACGCCTCAGCCCACTGCAATCTGGCGCTGTCCCTGCATGGCCACAAAAGCTGCTCTCTGCAAGGTCACCGCAGACGGTGCGAATCCGGCGAGCCTGCCGCGCGTCGCTGCGCGCGACCTCCCTCCCTCTGACTTTGGACTGTGTGACTCAGGTCTGTCCTGGATTCCTTTGCACTTTCCCCTCCTCCCCCCTTCCCTTAAATGTTCCTTGGGTTTTTCCTAGACCCATTCTCTTAATCATTCTGTTCTCTCTCCTGGGATGATTTCACCCACTTCCATGACCATCTTATTATTGATTTTTCAACTCTGTATTTCTAGCCCAGATCCTTCTCTGTGCTTGCTTCCAACCTATACATCCAACTGACTTCTGAACATCTCCACTTGGGTGTCCCAAAGCACCTCAAACTCAGCAAACCTCGACTAAAGTTCTCCAGCCGGCCCTCCGCCACCATTCTGATTGAGGGAAGGCACGTCATTACCACATTGCTCCAAGCCCGGCAGGGGGCGTCTTTGACTTCCACTCCTCCTTTCTTTAGCACATTCTCCAGCAATCCACCTCCACGTCCTGTCTACTCCGCCCTCTAATACCTACCAGGTATTTCTACCAGATACTTCTCTTCAGCCTCTGTCCAGTCTCTGGGTCTCTGGGTTAGGCAGCAGAAAGCCTTAGACCTTAACAAGGAAGATTCATCAGGGAGCAGGGGAAGCCTAAGTTCAACTCGGCTCTCCCCAAAGCAACTGCAATTGCCTCCTAACTGATCTTTTGTTTTAAGGTAAGTCCCACTTGACCCTGGGTATTTTTTAAAATTCATTTATTGGCTTTACAGAGTGAGAGAGAGAGAGAGAGAACAACATCGACCGGTTGCTCCACCCATCAATCCGTTCCTTGTCTCTTGAATGAGCCCAGACCAGGAAATTGAACCCCAGACCTCAGGGTACTAGGCCAGTGCTCCAAAGCACTGGGCTACCAGGCCAGGACTGTACTGAATAAGAATCAACTAGGACGCTTATTTAAATGCACAGTCTTCATGTGCTCACCCCTCCTTGTCCTCTTTCCGTCATCTTTCTGTGCCACCATGATGGCACTCGTGAGTATCCTGGCTGATGCTCTTGAGAATATCAACAGTGCCAAAAAGAGAAGCAAACATTGGGATTTTATTAGGCCGCACTTCCAAGTCATTGTCTGGTTTCCAACTGTGATGACGAAGCGTGGTTATACTGGCGAGTTTGAAATTATCAATGGTCACAGAGTTGGGAAAATTGTTGTGAACCACACAGACAGGTTGAACAAGTGTGGAGTGTTCAGCCCCAGGTTTGATGTGCAACTCAAAAATCTAGAAAAATGGCAGAATAACCTGCTTCTGTCCTGGCAGCAAGGATCATGGACCATGAAGAAGAAAGACAAAACACATAGGAGCAGAAATGCTGAAATTCTTTTCCTAGGGATGTAATACATATGTACAAATAAAATGCCTCAATGGACAATAAATAATAAATTAAAATAAAAATAAATGCATATTCTTGGCTAGTGGTATCCCTCCTTTTTTTTTCCTTTTTAAAAATTTATTTTTATTGATTGATTTTAGAGAGAAACATTGAACTGTTGTTCGACTCATTAATGTACTCGTTGGTTGGCTCTTTTTTTTAATTAAAAGATTTTCTTTATTTTTAGAGAGATGGGGAAGGGAGGAAGAGAGGGAGTGAAACATCAATGTATAGTTGCCTCTAGCACACCCCATACTGGGGACCTGGCCTGCAACCCAGGCATGTGCCCTGAATGGGAATCAAACCAGCAAATGTTTTGGTTTGCAGGCCTGTGCTCAATCCACTGAGCTACACCAGCCAGGGTTGGTTGATTCTTATATGTGCCCAGACTGGGGATCAAACCCGGAATCTTGGCATATTGGGATGAAGCTTTGACCAACTGAGCTACCCAGCCAGGGGGGATCCTGTTATACCCAGCTAGGAAAATTACAGCTAGGGCATTACCCAACCCTAAATCTGCAGTTCCTGGAACAGGGTAATGAACAAACATCCGGGAACAATTGGGTTTAAAATTCTAGCCAAATAAGGTAACTAACCCGGGCCCGCCAGAAAGTGCCCGCCAGCAGCAGCACCCACCAATCAGGGACCCTCGCCATTTTTAAATAAGCCAATAGCTAACCGCCACCTCTGCTTCTGTATGCCTTTGCTTGCTTGCTAGAAAATATAAATACCCAGTAGTCTGTAAGCCAGGCGCGACTTCCATTTTGTAGCTCTGAGTAGCTACGTGACTCCGGTCACAGTTGGGGAAGTTCGCCCCTGCGCAGGAAAATCTTTGGCCATTAAAATTTTTATCAATTCGGTTCCGGACTCCAAGAGTGTGTATTTACCCGCCGATCGTCTACAACAGATCCCTCCTTTTTAAATGACATTTAAATTTTTTTTATTGATTGATGATAGAGATAGAGAAACATCTATTTGCTCTACTTATTAAATCATTCATTGATTGATTCTTATATGTACCCTGACTGGGGATTGAACCTACAACCTTTTTGGTGTATCAGGATGATGCTCTGGCCAACTGAACTACCTGGACAGAACTAGGGTTCCCTCCTTTTTAACAAGCTTCCCTAGTGATTTTTTTTTTTTTTTTGGGCATGTCATCCTTGCTCAGGGGCCATGCTAATCTTCTCTGTATTGTTCTAATTTTAGTATATGTGCTGTCAAAGAGAGTACGTCCCTGGTGATTCTTAGCACACTAAAGTCTGAGACGTGAACCATTGTAAAATCACAACAGAATAAGTTTCTGCCACTCGTTCAATAGCAATCCTCTGCCTCATATAAGTCCAAAACTCTTGTAAGACCTTCAAAGTCCTCCAAAGCTGGTGTGGCTCAATGGATTGAGCGCTGGCCTGTGAACCAAAAGGTCGCTGGTTCAACTCCCATGCCTGGGTTGCAGACGGGGTCCCCTTTGCAGGTGTCCTAGAGGCAACCACACATTGATGTCTCCCTCTCTTTCTCCCTGCCTTCTCTCTGAAAACAAATTTTCAAAAATGTTTTTTTAAAGACTTATAAAGCCCTTTAAGAGTTAATCCAGGTTAACCATCCTTGGTCTTTCTTATCCTTTCCTCCTGGAAGCCTCTGCTGCTTCAGTCATACTCAGTTTCTTGGGTTCCTGAACGTGCCTGCTTTCCCTCAACTCTAAGGTTTCATCCATCGTAAGTGCTCAGAGATTCACTGAATGCACCAATAAATTGAATCTGTCACATGCAAAAGTCCTCCCCTATTGGGGAGACAAAGAAGAGCGAACTTCCTGACTCAAACCTAATCTGGTGGGTTGGGGGTGGGTTAGGTAGGAAATGCAGGAGAAGTGAAAGGGGAAGAGAAGCAACTGTCACACCTTGGGCACTGAGTGAGAGTTAATAACAATTCATTTTCTTCTCACATAAATCCTTCTAAGCGCATGTACTATTTATTTGCAACCGAAGCTTGAAGAAGTTCAGTAACTTACCCAATATTACACAGCTGGCAGGTACTGTTGATTGAGCTCCTACTGTACACCAGGGCATGAACCTGCGGGGCGCTGTGCCAGGTACTGTAAAGAGAGGGAGAGACGCTGTCCCTGCTGTCCTGAGCCCAGGTCTTCTGTCGCCATCACACACCTTTCCAGCCCTGCAGAACCATAGAGGACTACGCCACATCCAACTTACCCTCGTTAATACGTGGGAACATCCAGTAATTAAAGGCTTACTTAGTCTTGAGTTTCTGAGTGACAAGTGTGTCTTACAGTGTGCCCGCTCTCCCAATGTATGCTAAATTACAAAACTACCTTCAGGCAATTGTGGACAAGTTCCCATAAAAAGTAGTTAAGTACATTTAAGTGTAGGAGCAATATGCATTCCAACGGCAAACGAATTCTGTGAGCTGAGCCTAGGGGATCTACTAAAATCATTTGTATACTGAGAGCCTCTTTCCAATTTCCAGGGTGGGGGATGTGAAAAGATAGAATTTCCCAACGTAAAGATTCTCCCTCCATCCTTTTCACTGGGGCAAGAAAAGGGTGGCTGTGCTCTGGAA